ACTCAGAAAACTGTCAAAACTAAAACAAGTCTAACAAAGTGTCACAGTTGTGTGTTCAAACTCCAAGTGAGAAGCCCCTGCTCTCGACAATAGGACTTACATGCTCGACCACTCTATTCTTCAGGTCCTTCCACCTTTTCTCCCCTTCCTCTGTATAAGAGAAGACATCTGTTGCAGGGCTGTTGGTTGATCCCTCTCTCAGCTCTTTCCCATAATCCTCCACCAAGGATGCCCAGCGCATTAACTCCATGGTAGTGAACTGTTTCAGAAGGTCCCTGGGACAAGAAGAATATTTATTAACAACCCCTCCCAAAAAACTTGTATCTATGCCTTGCTACGGAGAGTACACACCCAGTATCAACATATGTGAACATTGCTGTGGTTAGCTCTCCCAAGTAGCTTAGGAAAAAGTACTGCCTTGAATTGTTTTGTTGATTTGTTTGGATTGTTTGATTACGTAATTATGTAGGAAAACAACGGCAAAAGAAGAAAAATGAAGCAAAACACAGTACAATACTGCTCCTCTTTTTTTGACTCAGTTTACTTATCTGAAATAAGTGGGAAGAAGTGCACACTTATTTAATCACATTCTTCCTTCATAAATCATCAGATACTATTTAGCCAACTTAATTATTGTTATAAACCTCAACAACAACAACATTATAAATACTTCCAATAACACAGAATATAAACAAAATGAAATACACAAAATAATAATCAGATCATCTTATATTTACAACTCCATAAGTTCACATCTGCATGTGAAAGCCAAGTAACTCCACTTAGGGAATGTTAATTACAAAATCCAAATAAGCACAAAGTAACAACCAGAGAGACATTCACTGAAATTCAACATTGTCCCCTTCTTTACATCTCTTCAGGACCATATCCATATCATACCTCTCTTTTTGACCTGCTTCATGTTTGGACACTGATTCAACCTTTAACTGTCTCCACACACTCAAACTAAAACTTTTCCTGGTAGTATACACCTTCAGTTTTGAAGTTGCAAAAACCCCTTAAATTATAACTTCATTCTCTCAGAAAAAAAATGCTTTGAATATTTCCTGGTAGCTGATTATTTTTTGCTCTAAAAAAAAGAAAAGAAGGAAAAAAAAAGTGCTGTCCAGAATTTCACAAGATCTACAAATTTTAATAATTTAATCTTTAAAAATAGTCAATTTATAAAGTCCTTATAACCTGAATTGTAAATTATTATTACTGCCTTTAAAATAAATAAATCAATAATAACAGTGAATGTGATGTACTTTTGTAGTTATTGCCCCAGACTTCTGCACAATAGCTTAAATAAGGTGAAGCCAGCAAATCATCACCAGGGCAGAAAATATTACCATCATCAGCAAACAGCAACATTTTTACATACAGTTTTTAGCATTTTCTTGAGATAAAAACATTTAGCAACTTTGCTAAAATAGCAAATACCCACTGTGCGTGGGACTGTCCACAAAGATTCATATAGTAATTGAGAAAAGGTAGCAAGCTACATTATACTGTAGCATATATTGTGTTTTCTTTGTATTTTTCTATTATCTAGCCACAACACATCTGTAGCTTACTTTTTTAGAGTACAGCGGCCCCAAAGGCAAGGAGGCAAAATTATTTCTCACTTGTATTTCGGGATTTCTTCCAGTTTCTTGTCTCCACTGATTCTGTGCACAAGGTCTGACTGCTCGTTCTCATAGGGTGAAAGAATCACATAGAGCACCACACTCTTCAGGGCCTGTAAGACAAAAAAGTAGCTGCAGCACTCAACAAGCAACGAGCAAACTAGACATGCAGATTTGATGGTGCTTAAACGATGACATCATTGTTTCTCTTATTCCAAAAGATGTTCACATGCTTTGTAGGTGCTTCTTGTACTTAAAAAAAAAGAAAAAAAGAAGAAGACCTAATTAACTGTTACACATAAATACAGATTTCAGTAACAGGACTAAGAAAACATCTCCCTTCAATACTTTAGTCAGGTTAATCAAATACACTTGATTAACTGATCTCCTTCTTTCATTTCTAAGTTTTATATGTAAAAAAAACCCCCCAACAAACTATCTGGTCCTTATCAGGTCTTAAACTTAAATAAAGTAAATACAACCTCAACTGAACACCACCACAGGAAATATTACACCATCTCATTATTTATTCAACAAGTTAAAATGCAGAAGCAATGAGTGAAAAATTAAGTACATCCCTACTGCTTGCATAGGAATTAAGTGTCTAAGTAGCAGCCAGGTGCTGCTAATCAAATACACTTGATTAACTGATCATCAGCAAGCATGATCACCTCTTTAATGGTGGATGGTTTGCTGGACAATGATTCCAAGGACACCAGCAAATCTATAACAGATTGACGCAATGGCCCAGTCAAAGTCCAGATTAAAATGCTGCAGGGTGACCTTAAGACAGCTGTGCATAAACAAATGCCCACAAAGCTTAGTGATCTGAAGCAGTTTTGGGGGCTGAGATTCCTCCACAACACTGTGAAAGACTGAGTTATACAGAAACTATTACTTCAAGTTATTCCTGTCAAAAGTAGTTCTACTACCCATTGAATCTTAGGGCGTACTGGGGTGCGTGTACTGGGTTTTGTGCCCCCTCCCCAGACACACACACACACTAACTTTTGTTAAATAATTACATGATGCAATACGTCATGTGTTGTTGCTCATCTGAGGTTGTATTTATCTCACTTTAAGACCTGCAAATATTACAAAAAACAACAAAACCACAAAAAAACAGTATCATTTTCTACAAGAAACCCCTGTCATTATTTGTAAACAAGTCAGCAAGCTGAATTTGCTAATCCCAAAGTTAAACATCCGTTAAAATAACCTTTATACTCTTGACAGTAAATATATATATACACCTGTTGCCACTTGCTGCTGTCCTCCAAGATGCAAGGGGTATCATAAATGGCCCTGTAGTGTTTGCAGATGGACAGGTAGGAGCCCTCATGCTGGTCCACCTGAATCATCAGGTTGTAGTACTTCAACTTCTGCTCCTGAGTTGTTCATGAGAAAAAAGTTTGATTAGATCAGCCCTTGAAGCTAAAACCTACCAAAACTGATACAAGAGGGTACAGACGCCACCCATGAAAATACATTAAAATATATTTCATTGCCATCTTTAATTAATTAATTCCCAGCTCCTGGTCTGTTTCATACCTCTGTGCCCTCCTCTTGGAAAAACTTGGTGTTTATCTTCTTGCTGATGATCTGGGTACGAATGTAATCCTTGACAGCAATGCAAAGCCTCATCTGTTCCAATATAAACTCCACCTTCTCCTTTTTCTCCATCGAGCCATATGTCTCCACCTGATCAGAACATACGCGAGTAATGAATGGGAATATTTATTTAATCTTAATCTATGTATTTTTAAACTATATTCATACAAATTATTAGATCTCCCCCATACACCCAACAGCAATAAGGAAACAACAACAACTACTGCACAGACCTTGTCATCTTGAAGGTATAAAATTGAAACCATCTGTTCCTTACCTGTAATTCTTGAAGAATGGCAGCTGCCTCTTTGACCTCTCCATTTTGCTCCTTGATATTAGCTAAGGTTTTTGTTAGCCTGGCACGCTCGATCTCCACATAGATCTGTAACGTGGACAAATTTAGAGTGTTAGTTAAGCAAATAGTTACTATGATCTGCCTTCAACAGACATGACCACATTTGCAAAATAGTTGTGTGTAAACCAGACCACATTAATTTGTGATTGGAAGTTTAGGCATTATACATGTAAAACAAAAAGAAAAAAAAGAAAGAATTTTTCATTCCGTTTTTCACTGAACTTTTCAAGAATTTCATTGATTACAAAAAAATTCACCTTTCAGATTTTAAGTAACTGTGACCGTATTCAACCTGCAATGCTTAAGCTAGCCTAATCTCTCATTATTTAGCTGTAACGTCTTTGATAGCTTTCCAAATCTATACAAATTTTCAGATATCAACATTAGATCACATATATTCCAGACCTTTCCAGCTGTCACAGTGCGAAGTGTGTCGATTAGCCTCAACTTGATGGTGAGATCAGTCATAGCATCCACATACTTGTAGCATTCTTGGACCATTTTGGCAACAGCCTAATAGAGGAAAAACAAACAAATAAACAAAAACAACTAACAGATTCAGGTTGTATTAACTTTCAAAGAATGGTTGTGGGTTATTAAGTTAAGCTTATTAAAAGAGCTCTGAATTTAAGGACTTGTCTTGACTAAATTTTATTGGAGTGGTACTTTCCAAAAAAGTTGTATTATAAAAAGTATTTAGCATTTTACCACTCAGAGGAAATCATTTCAAAACAGATCCTGATCTTACACTATAGATAACATTGCAGCATGTTTTCATTAAAAACAGTTACATGACCAGTAATTATGATTGCTCATGTAACTGATAATACAATTTGCTTTAGAAGCATGATAAAATGTATCTATATTCAGACTGTAGATTCAGAAGAATGTTTTAGGAAAGAATTGATACAAAACAGGAATCAAGACAAAAGAGGTATGTAACCTGTTTGAGCTGACTCCTCCGTTTGGTGAGTAGCATGATGTTTTCATTGAGTGCATCCCAGTCCTTGGCTTCATAACACATCTGAACCACAGCCACAAGGATTCTGGAGGTTGATACCATGTCCGATGCCTGCACACAGGTTAAAGGCAGATTAAAAAACAAACAAACAAGTAAACAAACCAAAAACAGCACCAATAAAAAAAACAAAAAAAACCATGTTAACCAATATACATTGCAGTCATGAAAAATTAATTTCTTATTTCATCAACACATCTTTCAGTTTTGCTGTTTTACAAAAAAGACTTTGCAAAGAGAATTATGCGACACTGTACTCTGGTTAACCGTGTCCATTCATTTACACTCCTATGATCAGCTGCACCTATTAAAGACTGGGTCTGAATCTGACATCTACAAATAGTTTGAGAATGGAAAAACAACTTTACCTTAAGAATGTGTTTTAATCTCAATTTATATTATCTATGTTACTGTCATATCGGACCCGAGTTCTTAGATGTATTTCTGCAGCTAAATGGTCAAGAACACAAATTGCAACAGTGTACATCGACTTACTGTTCTGGTTTGCTTCTCCAATGATAACAAGCTCTCGATGGCTTCCTGCAACTTGCCCTCCTGCGACAGAAGAATCCACAAATACGGTGTCAGATATATTTATTGCTGTAAGCTGACAACAGGTAAGTCCTGCTTTTGTACCAGCAAAATGTTTAAGTCACTTTTCCAGGTTAGCAAACTAGCTAAAGGTTTAGCTAACGCTAAGAATACTAGCATGCTAGCGAGTATAATAACAAATAAATACCTGCGTGTGTGTAAACAGAGTACATTGGAAGTTTTTGAAAGTCAAAAAATCCTTAAAATACAAAGTAAAGTATATTTACAGTATATTTGGTCATAAGAGCTATCCGGACAAAGCCAGTAACGCTAGATGCTAGCCTGAATGCTAACACTGATCTCACTGCACCATGACTCAGCCGGCGCTGGCCTCTTTTACAACCCGCTTACTTTAGCCATTTTTTCACATTCCGGGAGACGCTGGTCTACAGTTGAACTGTAGTCGATCTCCATCTTGACAATCCTCCCATCGGATCTTTCAGATCGCTCCTCAGACATCTTTGCAGTGTACAAATGAAGATAGCGCACGGAGCTTTCTTTTCCTGCGGACCACTGTTTTACTTGTCAAACGAACGATGCTGCGAAAGCGACCAATCAAAGTCGAGAACTAAACTTCTGTCCGAGGCGCCTGAAGGACCGACTATGGACCCCCGGTATTTGTCAGGCAGACCTGGTAAAATCCTGATTTTCCCTGATCGTTGGTCAGTAAGTTTATAGATAATAATTTAAAGATTCTGACGTTGAGTGGAATCAAATCGCTTTACTGTCTTTGGCTAAAATTCAGAGGAATGGATACGAATCTTTTTATCTTAGTTATAGAGACAGAATACAATAAATGAATAAAAGTTTCCCTAATAATAGATTTTAGGGACTCGTGGACAGGTGACCAGTCTGTCTCAGTGTTAATATTATATATAGAGCCAGACATTAACACCTATGGTCAAATTAGAGTCAACAATTAGCTTAAACCCATGCATGAAGGAGGAGGGCAGAGTACCCAGAAAGAACATGCAGACTCTACACAGAAAGGCACCAGATTAGATTTAGACCAACGACCTTCTTGGAATATTATTTATTTATTATTATTATTAGTAATAATAAATTCAATTTAAATTCAAATACGTTTACTCAGACGGTCATTTTAATCTGTCTAAGCTGTTCTTTTGACATTAAAAAAAGACGATATAACCATGCATCACCAGCAGGATGTGCTGATTCACCATTCTGTAGCTCAATTCATTACTCAAATCAAACCGCAAAATAACATCTTGAGTGAGTTCGAGTTTATTACATTAATGATGAAGCCAAACGTGCTTAAATTGGGACATAAGTGTTTGTATGGTGTAGTTGGGTGTAGGCGACCTGTCGCTGCACTAATTACTTATTCCGGACACTCCATTAAAACCTTATTGTTACCGTTTAAATATTTGGCTTCATGTGATTGAATAGTTCCTTATGATGAGCCGCTTGCTGGTGCTTTAACTGAAGAACATACTCACATATTGGCATACATACTAGTAAGACTAATCAGTCTTTATTTCATAGATATTGCAACAAGCCTGCTCATATATGTTTGACATGCTCAGTATATTTGTTATGTGGCCGACTGAAAGAGACTGCCATATCAGTCCGCCGCTGGCATCATGTGAAAAAAGTATAGTGGATATGAACTGCCTGGTATGGCTTTCCCTCCACAGTAAAAAAACAAAACAAAACAAAACAATCAATCAAACAAAAAACAAACAAACAAACAAAAAAACACTCCTGTGGCAGTAAGACTATGCTGGTTTACATTGCTGTTCATATTTTACTTAATTTGCTCTTAGACACGAGGACTATAATGGTGACAAGGCTAAGAGTAATGGTTGAAGGTTTTGGTGGAATCACCACTGACCACATACATATGGCTTAGAGGAAATAAGAAGCCATACTTTAAAGAATAATAGTGGAAATCATGTCGGTGGTGAAGACTGAAATGGAACAGACACATTATTTTACCATTCACAGAATAAACGTGCCTCACGTGCTTGGCAATCATCAATCAAATGGTCAGGGTGAGTGAAGAACTTTGTGAATGGACAGGATTTGATTGAATGAACACATCATGTAATTGCAGCAGTCCACCAGGAGGTGTCCTTTTAATGTGTGCGTTGATGTGTGCTTTGAAAGGCTCCCAGTAAATAGAGCCAATGTGGGTCAGTGATTTTCTTCCTCCTGGCAGAGAAAGCCCCTAAGCCCTGAACTAGAATCAGTTTGATCCCAGGGCAGGCTCAGTCAGCATAGACCTCGGAGGCCTGGTAAACTGAACATGACTCGGCGAAGATCAAATATGGAGCAAGAACTCTGATTGCGAAGGCATAAAAATAATCTCAGCATACTTTTCAGACTTCAAAAGCATCAGGAAGAGCTCAACGTGAGATGGAGCTTCAGATGGTCTCATCATTATTGTGATCATCAGTACAGTCAACAACAAAAATGTCGTAAATGTCATTATTTTAGCCAGACATTTGACGACTTTTCCTGAAGTGACCCAAACTACAGAAAAATGAATGTATTTTAACATTTCATACTGTTGTACAAGTGCAAAAGATTTTTGTGGATCAGAGTTCATCTTTATCTACTGAGAAGGATTTTAGATCCAACCGTGTGGGTCAAATCAAGGAAAATTGTATTTTTAAGGAATCTTGAAACTGTGAAACTCTAGACGGTATGCCTGTGTATAATTTTTATAGGACAGTGATTACAGAGTTCAGTGGGTACCTTGACACTGTAATGAGAACTGTATTCCCACCATACTTGCCCACAATCCCACAGGGACAAGCATCTGCTGGTCTTTAAAGGATTGTGGGAGATTCTCTAAACACTGTAACAGTAAAACAGCAGAAGTGATCATATGTGGTGCACATGAAGAACAGAGCCCGTACAGAGGCCAGAGGGTGCATTGACAAAGGTACTGAAAGGCTCTGAAATGGGGTGGCATGCTCCAGTGTACTTCAAGTGGGTGTCCTGTGGTTACTCTGGCTTCCTACTAAAGACCAAAGACATACATTTAAGGCTAATTGGTGATTCTAAACTGGCTGTGGATGTGAGGTTCTTGAACCGTGTAGTTAAAGTGTAACTTGCAGTCGGAAGCTTTTTAAGCGGTCAGTAAAACTACTCTGTTGTTGTGAACCTGCAGGCACAAATACCCACAATATAAGAAAACCTGTAAAAATAAGCAAATTCAAAACAACCTGAACTGAGATTAAAACAGAGATCAAAAGAGAGTTTTAGAGGGGTCATAAGATTATAAAAGCACCTGTGCTGCCATTTCAATGTCTTGGAAACGTCCAAATCCCACACATGCAAGTTTTCCTGCCACTGCTTTGAATGCACAGACTAGTTTGCAGTGAGTAAAATTTGTGTTCTAACTGTTAATTCTTCTTAAAATAATACTGATAATTATAAATAGACATTATGATGATTTTTTTCTAACACAGAAGTGAGGACAACTTTTAATAATCGCAGTGGTTATACACTTCTAGAAATTTCTTGCTATTTCCACTTCCAGTGAAACACAATTAAAACCTTATGGGTTTTGTGCTATTTATACATTCTAAACAGATGCATTTCAAAATTTAAGTTAAGTTGTGATTTTCTGCTAAAAAGTTCAACAGGGGTTAGCCTTTTTTCCAAGCTCACATTTTTATTTATTTCTTTTTGTGTTAATAATGCAGCGCCTGATGTCATCTGTAGATCAGATGACATCAGGCGCTAATCTCTTTTCTAATCAACACAGACGTTATTGAAATTTTTGGGCCGTCTTTAGGTCAAGTAGTTACGCGAAAGACCATCACTGTTCGACAGCCGGGGGGGTTTAAGATAAACACAGACTGTCAGAAATTAAATACAGGCTTTAGATTTTAAGAAGCTCTTCCTTGTTTTATGTGTCACTGACTAATGAATTAAACCTTTGTGTGACTGTGCTTCATGCAATGAATGAGTTTTGTAATATCTTAAGACATGTCTTATCATATGGTTTTGAGGCATTTAAAAGAATGTCATATTTACCCAGGACATGGCTATAAAACAGTTACACAGTTGTATCTTAGGCTTCTTTTTAATGGAGGCATGAAGCACATTTTTGGTATTCCCCTTTGAAATCCATAAACCCCCCCCCCAAAAAAAACAATACCTCCCATGCATCTCTGGAGTGGTAACAGAATTCGAATACAGCAATGATTAAATTCAATTTAGTGTACTATAGTACTGTGGACCGTGGTTCAGGGGGTTGGGAAGCTCATCTTGTAACTGGGACGTTGCCGGTTTGATCCCCAGCTCTGTCTGTCTTGGTCGTTGTGTCCTTGGGCACCTACCGCCTACTGGTGTTGGCCAGAGGGGCCGATTGCGCGACATAGCAGCCTCGCTTCTGTCAGTCTGCCCCAGGCCAGCTATGCCTACCACCAGTGTGTGAGAGTGAATGAATAGTGGAGTTGTAAAGCACTTTGAGGGTCTCGAAATACGCTATGTAAATGCAATCCATTATTAATATAGCAGCCGTGGATGTGTTTCTGTGCTTTGGGTTTAATGATCCTTTACCTTACTGGGCTGTTTTAAAGCCAAATATGTGAACACAGTTACTTTGAATCACGGTGTATTTTATAAGACATTCTTTTCAGTGCAAGCTCAGGTAAATTTAGCACTTAAATTAATATTTGCAGCTTCCCGAGGTTCGCAAAGAAGTGGCACATGCTTTATTGCTGTGCCAGCGGGGTTAATTTTCTTGAGTGCTGCATTATGCAAGTTCTTTCTTTGAAAATGTGACTCATTTCGTTCATAAGGTAAGCCAAGTAAAATGGTGCTACTTAATGTTAGACCATTAACTAGAACACAACAAGGAAAACTGTAAACATTTCTCTCAAAAAAGTGTTTTGAATCAATGTTAATTGTCTTGAATCTTCATTCAGTTAAGTTCATTAAGAAAGATGAGATGATGAGGAGCTCAAGCTTTGTGTTAAAGTTATCTTTTGTTATTCCCAATATATGGTGTAAAAACTTACATTGCTGTGAGGAAACTCACATTACATGATGCTTGTTTTCATAAAGCTCTTCTGTAGCAACTGTGCCACCAGATATTTTGAGTTAATGTTAACTGATCACTTAATAATGTATCCCTGTAAGCAATGCCTTTAAGAGCATTAAATGTTTTAGCTATTAGTACTGTACTTTAACATTAATGAGGCCACAGTCATGCACAAACTAGTCACATTTGCAATTTTTTATGTTCTAACCATGCTGTTATTAATTTAAACATTTTTTTAAAAAATAATGTCACACACTAATTAGAGCATTAAGAAGATAGTTGGGATAGTTTAAATTTAAGTGCTGATTTAGGGGATTTGCTACACTGGCATGAATATGTTTCTTGGGAAAAATACTGATAATCAGCAATTTTAGTGCTGAAATATGAACACGGGGTTTGCTGAGTAGATTCGGAAATGCATTAATGAATCCAGCAGTACGGCATCTATTTGAATTTATTCTCTGTGTTAAAGTATGGCGGATTCTAGCAGGCGTAGCTGACACTAATGGACAGCAGCATTACTGTCACTGACAAAAT